TTAAGATACACTTCAGTTCCCTGTTAAGTAGAAAGAACGCCGAATATTACAGCGCCGGAGGAAGGGAACGTAGCTAAATACTGCCCTTCTAGGTCAGCATATGAACATTTAATTGATTTCGTCTTCTCCCGAGCGCGCAATCAACAGAAGAACTTGGCCGCGCAGTCCACGCTTTGGACGCGATCACCACCTAGTCGGCTTTTGAAGAATCAGCTTTTTTCGCTTTCTAGCGTTCCCTGAATTCACCATTTATTTACTCTTTTCGATTTTCAAATGTATGTCTTGTTATGAGCTATAGCAAGTATAGGATGGTGTTGGAAGGCTTTCGCTAACTTCGTCTCCACGGAATAGCATCAATTTGTAGGTGGAGTGTGGGGTGGTGAGTAGAGCATATTATGCACCTTTGAGCTCTAGTGCCTCAGCCTTCATAAGCTCTGGCACCAAATGGGTACATGCTCTGCGAATGCATTTCCCATTTCACACACAGTACCTTCATTTCGTCCGGAAATCCCAAACTCGTCTCCTAAGTAGAGTTTCACGATAACTGGTCGAGATCGAAAGGGGAACATACCCGTTAGGAAGGAAGTCACGGCCCTAAGGGGATTGGACGATGTGTTGTACGTTCCACTGTGGACGGCACGACCCTCTTGGCGCATCATCGTACCGGTGGCGCTCGCAGCTCTACACGTCCACCGACTGGCTAGCCCCTCGCCGTCGGACCCTAGCCGTTAAGCGGAGACGCAGAGCAGAGGGTTCACGTTGATGACGCCATCACCGATCCCCACCTGTACCTTGATTCCTGATGGTGCCTTTCATCGTGAAACCGGCCCCCAAGGAACACATTATTCACTTTCTCATGCCACCTGGACACCATGAACAGTAAGGGGTATAAAATCATTGAAAATAAATCGTATTTCAACAGAATTGTTTTGAATAAAGATTAGGCCGATGTCAGACTTTGCGAATCGCGCGATTCGCTACTAGCGATTCGCGCGATTCGCTAGCGTCCGCGGTCGCGTTGCGGTACCAGCCAATTGAGTGATTCACTGGCCGCGACGCGACCGCAGACGCTAGCGAATCGCGCGATTCGCAAAGTCTGACATCGGCCTAAGAATTAGAACCGTGAACTTACCTTGCAGCATCAGGTCGGCCAGGAATGGACTGACTCTTCAGCAGTTAAGCCCATGGTATGGATGGAAGCTGAATAAATGCCTTTTATGTTCTTCACTGAAAGTTTCTTCAAACTTCCTTTTCCTCTCACTATTTGTTGTCCACCTTGCTGTGCAAATAAACAAATAAATAAATAACTAGATAAACTACGCGTCGAAAAAAAAAGTTTTTTGAGGCATTACCTAATTCTTCTCAATCTCGTTCAATTGTATTTACGTCCCATTTTTATTGCCAAATAGTATAGTACAGTGCATCCAATTAATATGAAAATGGAGTAGCGATGGTCAAAATATTGCGAAAAATACACGAATCTCAAGCGTTAGCGTTTCAGAGAAGAACGATCTTACAAGTGACTGGATCTGACATTCTCAGGAGGTGCAAATTTCTGACAGAACAACGATCAATAATTCAGAAGTTTCAAAATAATATTGAAATTCTTTGGTCGGTGCATCAGTCCGATCGGTGTGATGGTTTTTAAATCGTATAGGAACTTCAGGATCCTCCAAGATTTCATAGCGAGAGATCATGTTGGCCAGAATCTGGAAAACATGTTGAAAAAGCAAAGATGGAAAGGTTCTAAAATCAATGATACAACAGGTGAGCTATCGATTGAAAATGCGCTCCAGCTAGGTTGCGATCTGGACCGGCTTAACTTCTCCTATTATGACTAATCGGTATAGGCACAGGGCAGGGCAGGTGCTAACTTAGTTAGGGAAGGCAGTCGGCGTCACCATGCTCGCTAACTTTGCGCTGCAAAACGCGTAATTGTGCAGGGGAGATGCAGACAAATGAAGAAGGTTTGAGGGGGAGGGTGAGGTGAGTCCTTTGACATGCGGAAAGCTGAAAAGTGCGAGTTTAGTGCTGAGAGATTCACCATCAGCATGCGCGACGCAACGAGACTGCTTACTATCCCTTCCACTAGATTTGCGTCAGATAGTTTGTGCATGGACAAGGTAAGCATGCCGCACGGATACTTTCGAAAAAAGTTCATTTTTCCATTGGCTATCCATTTTTGTCCCCTCGTGACTTCATCGGCATCTATATTTCACATCTTCCCTTCCCTCTTTTCCCTCAGACGCAATAAATGCACGAGACGTTGCAGTTCCTGAAGTTAAGTAAATGATTGCTTAGTGATATTTTGAGTGTCTGAGTGGGTCCCGGGAAGTAAGGTGGGGAATATGAGGCAATTTTAATATGGTAGGATGCACATTAGTAATGACGCTATGGGAGCATAAACGCCGGCATGTCCGCATCAAAAGTCCAGTGACAGGTCTCTGCGCCTCGCACGGCACTCTTTCGCTCCTCGTCATAAACCCGTTCACCGCTCGAGAAATGAGGGACGCCTAGTTTTGCTACTTCCGAAAGCAACTGCCTCCTTTCCTTCTTTCCTTTCGAGATATATCTCATTTCTACTTTCATTTCCCAGTGCATAAACACAGCTAGCTCACCTTGATATGTTTTTCAAAACAATCATGAGAGATTCATCCGAAGCTGATTGAATTTCCTGGGGACATTAAACGCACGCCATCGCCTCTAAAAACCTCGAAATTGCGGCACACGGAGTACCTTGGCTTTTGATGCTCAGTTCTTTGCAGTTCACGAAAGAACCTTACTAGAATCTCCTCTCTGATGAATGGTTGCAATGAAAACCCGCCCCGCAGAAATAACCCTATGTGAGTTGGCGTTTAGCAATAGTAAGCGCTAATTACTCAGCGTGCGCAATTTCCATACTACACAAAGGAATAGCTTTTTGATTATAAGGAAGGAGTTACTCAATTTCGACATAGCGGATCTCAAATAGAAGCTCTGAAAACCTACTAAATATATTTCAGCTTTGGCCAGCGTCTCACCAATACATGACCGTTTGCCGATGCCGAATGGGATCACTCGTTGTTCCAGCTCCTTCCCTCCTTCCTCGTATCGTCCAGGGTCAAACTGAAAAATCCGCTTCTTCCAAATTTACGAAGAAATTACAGGAGATCAATATGTCATAAGGACAAAAAGGAAAAACATCCCACGTGGATCAGTCTTCTTCTGGGACGCGCCACACATTATACTTCCATTCAGAATCGCAGCGGTATTTGAATAGGATTTGGCCAATACTTGGTTTGAGGGCCAGTCAATGTATGAGTCGTGTTTCCCTTCTATCCAAATGGTACCAAATAAGTGACTCCAGGAGGACTGCAGGCTTGGTTGGCCTAAAACCCGTGTGATCTGGCCCTTTTATCCCTGCAATTCGAGCGCGGTAAACGGTGACACTTATCACTACACCACTCACGCCAATAAAATGCCATGGCACTGGAAAATATGCATGAAAAAGGGTAATCGACCGGCAGAACTACCCAGGGACACGGACGTGAAAATCACATAATTTTGGCCACGAAGATGTAGCGGGTGGGGGGGGGGGGTGGCGCTGAAGGAGTGGAATGGGGTGCTCCTGCCCTTCCACTGCCGGGAGTGCACAGGAGCACTCTAGTCACATATCCCTGCACGCTATTTCACCTTTATAGGGAATAGTAGTCTAACATTTGTAGCGAATCCTTCAGTAACTTCAAGACTCCTCTTACTCAGATCAATAGTCCCTAAAATATTGCCTTTTGATTAAATTTATTCGAAAAATTACCTTCAGTGGATCCTTGAAGTATTTTTCTTCGCTCATTATCAACGACAGTTCAGCAGCGATAGCCGTACCTTCAGGGACGAAGTATCCCCCAACCTTTCTTCCCTCCTTGGTTTTTCGCCACAGATTCAAACTCACTATCGATGCTAACCTTTGGGTTTCCTGAAGAAATCGAATAATTCATTATGATAAAAAGGGCTGTCTAAACCGATGAATTGGTCTGTGGAAACCTTAAACTTTTCACCTGATGATGTTTCAGTCTTGAGCAACAGATAGGATATAGAGGATACAAAGGTGGCGCTTATCTCGCTGAGCATCACATACTCAGCTGTTCTTCACGTGAAATAAAATTGTACCCTGATTGCTTTTCAGGAAAAAAGCTGCCTAAATTTTGCGCGTCAGGTTGAGCCCGGCGAGCGGCTAGTTTGCGTGCGCGTAGCGGTAGCAACAAACGGTACAGTGGCGCAAGCGGAGATGCCGTCAGGGAAAGGAGGTACAGAGTAACCCCTCGCGGGCTCTGCTCCGGCTTCCCTTTCTGCTCGCCGCCGAACAAGACCTGACAATTAGGGCTTGCGGGAGTATCTGAGACGTGTCCTCTTATTCATGTGCGCTCACGATGTGGCGAAGACAACCTGATTTGCTTTGTGTGGCCCTGCGGGAAGGCCTGGATTGAAGTCAAAATCTACTCAAGCTGAATCGGTACTTTGAGGTACCTATCTACGCGGGAGGAGCGCTAAACGCAAATTGTTGCCACGAATGTTGTCGCGCGCGACGCCATTGCACGTTAGATCTGTCATTGTGTACTACTCTGAGATCAGCTCTCAGTAGAATCTATGTCTGGGGTGATCATTATTGACTTCAGAAAAGTTAGCACCTTGGTTCCAAAATACTCACCAGTACAGTCCAATTCAGGTAAGGGGTGTGCTCTTTGTCGGACAACGAGACTGAACGATTGCCATTGGTCACCACATTCAGTTCAGCTCGAATCTTCTCTATGATCTATAATGTAAAGAGGTACGGGGTGCGAACCGGACAGGAGGCCCTTCACGCTTCGAGAAGGCAAAAACGCAGACGGGTGCAGTGTGACGATCAGCACGCAGGGTACTGTGCGATGTAAAACCCGCCTATACTTGTACTTCTATTTTTACTTGAGCACAATCGTGTACAGTACGAGCTGCGAACTCGTCCGCTACCGCTGGGTCTCTGCCTTCTCGCTGCGCGCCGGACCTTCCTGTCGGATAACCATGGGAGGGATGGGTAGGACAAGTTACGTAGGTACGGTTATGGAAACCGTCGGGCAGCCTAATTTGGTCTCTAACCTGCGATCTCTCAGGCTTTCTCATAACGTACCCATGCTACCCCAGGTTTTTTTTTGAAAATAACAGGCACACAACGGCGATAGCAAAAAACACAGTACCGTAAACTAGTCAACATTACTAGCAGACCAATTTATCACTACATAGAATAGGAAATCACTATATGCCTATTTGGTGTTGGGATCGATTGTGTTGATCCCAAAGCCCGAGATAGTGAACAGTGAACGAAAGCCAAAAAAGAGTCCCTTAAAAGAGTCACCCCAAGCGGTATTTATTTATATTTGTCACTTAACCAAATTCAGATTAATTTTGTTCGTTTTCTTGGGACGGTATTAGATTGGAGTTTTAGACTTGAACTGGAAAACGCTCTATTGAACTACAAAAAAAATAACTCACGGTAGGGTTTTTTATCAAGTGCATGAAACCCCACATTACAGTGATTCGCCGTTGTTTCGTGACCAGCAATCCACAAGTCAAAAACATCGTACAGTAGCTCGTCTTCTCTAAACCGGATTCCATTAATTGCTGACGATTTTTCCCGAAATGGGTCTTGCTTCCCGGGAATCGCCGGGTCTTCGCTTTCTCTGCGAATGCTTGAAGCATCGGAATCACTATTCTTGTTGTCAATTTTGGGAGCGGCACTCATGTACGGCTATGGACAGCGCTCCCTGGCCTATGTCATAAAAGGTCAGAGGAAAGTTCGGTATGCCTATCCATAAGGGTATTACTCACGCGAGGCTGCTCAGTTTGGAGCGCCTAATCCTTATGAACCCGGACGGAGAGTGCATAACATTATCATGTCAAGCACACTGCCGTTATCATCCTCATCACGTCTCCAATGGGACCATGTCGATAGCGTGAAAATGGGTGGAAAGCAGAGGACACCCTAGGACAAGTTTTGTTATAGCTCGGAGCTGCTAGAGGCTCCCTTTGGATCCCCTCCCCGTCCGCTGTCGTGGGGCCAAAATGTCCTTTGAACCTGCACCTCACCTGCGGACACCTTTTCGAATCCGTAATCCTCCCCTCCGCCAAACCTTCAAAACATTCGATGGAGGCGAGAGGGAAACCCCCTCAACCCAAAAAAGCAAGTCCTTGCTTTTAACAAGACCCTTTCAAGTGACTACACCATCCATAACTTGCTTAAAAACCTCAATCTCGTCGCTCCCATCCGAAACACATATACGTCCCCCCCCCCCAGCCCGCCATTTGAATACCTATATTCTGGGCGGAAGTGGTGTAGTGACAAGTGGCGCGCTCACCACGCGAGCGGTCCGGGATCAAATCCTGGGTCGTGAGTCGCCCGGGCCAACCAAGCCTTCCATCCCTCCGGGGTCGGTTAATTGGTACCAGACTTGTCTGGGAGGATAAAAACACTGACTTGAACATCGGCTGGCCCCCGCAAGTCATTGTATAGGCCACATCGCATTCAAACGCCACTACGAATGTACAAATGGAAGTAGAATGGGGCGTGCCGCATCCCAGAAGGATGCGGGACGCATTCCCGGAAAGGTATGTATCACCGACAAATACTTTGATCCTTCACGGCGGTCGAACGGTTGACAGGCAGCAGGTCGCTCTCTTCAACGCTTATCATTACGATTTAAAGGCAAACCCTGGGACGTTGGGTCCCGCTTGTGAAAATATCAGCGAGAGAAATGTAGGTCCTCCGACCTAGCATCACTCCAGCTTCACCGCAGAGTTGCCGAGGTTTTAGGGCGCTAATCCTTATGGGCCTGCAACCATCGACCCCGTTGCAACGCTTCCCACCCACCTGCGATATCGGCGTGCTCTCTCGAACGGCGTGATCTCTCGCGTGTTTTGTCTTCTTTGACCGCCCTGCCTCGCCATCGTTCCACATCCGACCTTCCTGAAGGCTCAGGCCTTGATTTCAGCGATCCCAAAGATTTCTCTAGCTTTCCTTTCCCCTTCAGGCCGCCCCGCAGCTTGACTTGACATTACGAAGCGCTCTTATCACGGTGTTGTATACCGTGGTTACCTTACTAGACATGTGACCGCTGCCTTCATGAAAGAAGCTGTTACCAGCCAAAGCCGAGTTTTTAAACCGAGCGACAAGGTATGTATGAATACTCACCTACTTGTATGCTTGCGTAGGATGTCGACCTTCTCTTCGATCTTTTTCCATCTTTATCAGAAAAGGCGTCAACAAAATCATCACCATCTCCATGTAGAGAATGTCTGCCGGATGCGATGTCTTCCTTTCTGTAACAAAGAGCCCACCAATCAGACCATTTGAACGTACTTGTTCTCACATTAAGTAATAGGTAAACGCACCTCTGATCTAGTCTTTTCTGAAGAAACTCCACAAGTTTTTCTTGAGGTTCGATGAGCTTTCTCCACTTGTACTTGAGTATTGGTAAGTTGAGCGTCCACTTTTCCAGCGACATACCAAAAGCTGTCAATCCCATAATTTCTTTATCCACCAGATGTTTCACTTCAAAAAATTCGGCAGTACTCTCCTGAAAGTATCTCTTGAAAATGTCTTCAAAGCGAATGGCGCGGGGTGAAAGGGGTGGCGTGAGGAGGAGAAGGATCTGCGACCACATAATGTTCGAGGTCTGGATTCGGCTAGGAGCCATATAGTCTTCATCCTTTAAGTTATCTTAAATGGCCACCAGATTGCTGCTGGAAGGGGAAACCGTTAGCTTTTCAGCTCGTTCTGTAGGGGACTCCATTCCCATTCAAGTCCCTCGATCAGAATTGAAGCGGAACAAATGGCGTGGCCCACTAGTGTACCTTTGCGAGGACGGCAGGCACAAAGCTGTTCGGCGTGTGCGAAAGCCCAAGACGAGAGGATGAATTTCGCGGAGAATGAAACTGCTTACTCACCCCATCTAAAGTTTAGTTTCAGAGGACAGGAGGAGGAATGCTAGGCGCTGTTGGCGCTTAGCCTCCTGTATCGCTTTGTGTGACTTGGCTGTCTGGGACACACCTTAAAGCAACAATCCAGGAACGAATTCGCGGGTAAGGACCACCTATAATGACGTTGCAGGTGAGAAGTTGGTCAATGGAGAAAGAAAAAGTAGAAAAAAACGTCGGGCAGGGGCTTAGACAGGGACTCCCCCTGCCGTTTAGGGAGAGTGTGTTGGACGAGTTGTCCGAACCTGCCCGTAGTACATGCGCTCCAATTGCAACTGCTGGCAAATAGCCATGCATGCTTGCAAATACATAACTATTTGCCAGCAATCGAAATTGAAGCGCTTCAATTGCGTTCTTATGGAATCGACCTCATACAGCGCGGCGGTCCCGCAACGACCGCTAGTCGAGCAAGCGCTCTGCACAGCTGCTTGGAGGCGGCCCCACCACGGATCGGTGGATCCGCCCCTCTTGAAGGATTTCGACTGCTTCCAACGCCTTTCAGAGGTAAGTTTTGAAGTTTGTGACATTTCCCATGAACTCCAATCAGGCTGAGGCATGTTTCCACCACTTGAAAACCAAATGGTTGAAACCCTGCCTGGACTGTTGCTTTAAGAGTTCAATCGAGCGCTACAGCATTAGTGTCGAAGGTCTGAATCGCAATTCGAAGCACAACCGACACTGACGATGAGTAGTGGAAGAAGCGGAGCGAATCTCGGAATAGGCATAGTCAACGTCAAAAGCTTCACTTTCAACTCGTTCATCTCAAGACCACTCATCTAGTGCGAGGGTTGAAATCAAATTGTTTACGTTTTTCTCGTATTTTATGCTAAGGCCACGCTTTCACCTCCCACTAATTTGAAAAGACGTTGATAGTAGGAGACAAATGCTACAAATTTTTATCAGAACAGTCCCTTCACTGTTTTGATCTCCTTAGAGAAAGTTGGTATCAAATAAACGCTCAATGCCAAATAATTGAAGGAGTATTCACTTATCGTGAACGATTTCCGATCCACATAGCGCGGGTGGAACAATGGCGCCTTCTCCTACTCTCGTATCCATCGGGGATGCACGGGGCTCTTCCTGTTCATCAGCTGGATGTTATCCATCCAAGAAATCCTTCGGATCAATCTCAGAAGAAATGCCTAGGCCTTTCCGTTTGACTTGCTTCCTACACACTATCCTTCCGTAAATACTTCGTCTAAGCCATCAACCTCATCCTACCCCCACTTTGGTCTCTCGTGCCCCTGCACCCCAGGGCCAGTGACGACTCAATTGGGAGGGGTTCTGCAATCTTTTTTTTCTACCAATTTCCATGCGGTAAACGTGACTTCGTAACTTCAGAAAAGATGATTCGATTGATCACGCTGCCAATGAGAACATCGAAAAATTCTCCGGCATTTATCTTCGTCTCTCCATCCACCATAGTTTCTTCCAGTTTGGCGAAACTAAACTTCCAAAACTAGGAAAATTTCTCCACTTCTTTCAAAATAATCGAAAATACACTAACTTGTACTGAACTCGTCCATGATTCTCTCCTCCATGATGCTGTTCTTCAGTGCAAAATCGCGTAGGGTTCGTAAAGTGAAACGACGATGATCAGCCCAAAAATCGCCACTCGAGAATACCGTACCTCGCCCTTCTACAAGTCTTACTCATAGAGAAAACGGTGGCAAAAACTATCGAATAACAATACATATTTGAAAGTGATAAAAGGATATAAAGGATAAAGCATTTGCCGTTGATCAATCCCTTTTTGGGATGCGGCACGCATTCTACTTCCATTTGTACATTCGTAGTGGCGTTTGAATGCGATGTGGCCTATACAATGACTTGCGGGGGCCAGCCGATGTACAAGTCAGTGTTTTTATCCTCCCAGACAAGTCTGGTACCAATTAACCGACCCGGAGGGATGGAAGGCTTGGTTGGCCCGGGCGACTCACGACCCAGGATTTGATCCCCGGACCGCTCGCGTGGTAAGCGCGCCACTTGTCACTACACCACTTCCGCCCATACTATACGAAAATAAAATACAATAAATGTAGTGAAACATGTGTTCAAAATAATATAATACTTTATATAAAAACATAAAAAATACAATAATACACATCGGTGTACCTCGCTTCACGTCAAGAGCATACGGTGTGTATCGGTCCGCATAAGCGGCACCGTTGACGATCATTTCCTCTTTAGCTGTCTCGAAGTCCAAATATGAACTGTTGGTATTGGTCCGAACCAGAATGTGATGACGTTACCGTACTCCTTAACGATCACATGATTTGTTACTAGCCTCCTTTTTGACCATTTTCAGCTGGCCCTTTGACCCAGAAATTGAACTTCTCCACTCCTCAATCTTCACTGTGGCAGCATAGCTGTGACAAAAAGTTCTCTTTCAATTCCCAACCTCTGACTCTTACTTCAGCGCTCCCAGCTAGGGTCAATGAAGTCGAATTTAGCCTACAGGAAAATCGTATTTCAAATTTTTGTATTGTTGTGGAGGTGCTAGGGGTCGGTATTTGTAGAATAAGGCCTAATTAAATTTCAGCTATACAACTGTGGTGGGAGGTCATTTTGAATTTCAGAGGGTATGGTGTGATGGCATTCGGGAGGTCGTGGTGTGTGAATTAGAGGGGGTGGGGCTTTTGAGGTTTTCCTAACAATTTCGCAGCAAGTGACCCATTTCAAAAGTTATATAAATTTTGGGCGGAGTTGCAGTGTGCCAACTGGTCTCAACATTAACTACTGCGCGCTTAGCTATGGTATAAAGAGCGGTGCTGGACGGCACGGGGCTCACATGGGGGAAAAAGGGCTTACGCACTACTTGAACTTTGTTCTCTGGCCCTTCCACGAATGGTGAACAGCAGAGACGATTAGAGAATGCGCCTAGATCGGCTCTAAATAACCAGGTGGGAGACAAAACCGGCATCTTCTAGGGAGGAGCGTTCGCGATGTGATGAGCACAGGCAAGGGGGGGGGGGGGGGGCTTTTAGGCGCAAAGTTCAAATGGGTGTGGGTTAGTTGTGGTCATGAGCAGCTGATAAGGCGAGGTAGGCCAGAGAGGGTGAATTGAGCTAGCTTACAGGACCGAGTTCAAGTAGTCCGTCGACCGGGGCCAAGGCGCGGAAATCCTGTCGAGAACCCATAACCGAGGGGTCCTGAAGAATTTCTAGTCAGCACAAGCCACGTCACTGGTTAGCTCACTCTCAAATATACTGGATTGCGCAACGAGCTGTTAGATTTGCTACTTCTCTATATCAATCGGTGCACCACAGAAGGAAGAAGAAAGTATTCTATTACCTGAACTGGTTAGTATCTGGTTAATCTAATAAACTTAATCATTATAAATTTTGAACAGATCAACATACCTTCTGCCATTTTTTCATCAGCTCAACGATGCCTCCATATTTGATGTTTCCGATGATTATATGGTGGAGGTTTCCTATCAGTGGTAGAGGAAACGGCCCTTAAAATGTGAGCGTACGTAGGAGGCTATAAACTTGGTTCATGAAAGGATGAAACAAGAAAACAAAAGAAAATCGATTCTGATCGCCAGGGCTCACGGAAGTGCCTGAAATGATTGCAAATGATTGAAAAATTGGATTCGAGATGACGAAGTGAATAATCAACTACCTGGCTTCATTTAAACTTTGCTGCCCCACTTCCGCAAGATGGAGCCGGTTTTTATCGCAAGTGCCTTAGGGCATAAATTTGGCTAGAAATTTGCTCGCAGAAGGGATTCGGAACGTGGAACTAAAAATCGCTTTTGTTTTCGCAAAACGCCTTGCACCCGTACACTGGCACCAGTGCTAGAAGGCGGTGGGTCACCAGACTTGCTAAAAGCTTACCCCCTGACGACGCTAGCGTAAACGGATGTGATATTCGTTTTCTACGCGTTCCTCGGAAGCAAACTTCTAGGCAAATTCATGAATTAAGACAAATTTCGAAAAAAAAACTCAGCTCAAATTTCCAAAAGTGGAGCAGTAAAGGGTAATAGTGCCCCGCATATTAAAATTGATTTGCCTATGTAAGGATTCAGAGGGTTGACTGATGCTGGGCAAATAAGAAAAGCAAACCCATGTCTCTCTTTCAGTAGTGAATCCAGGCGAAATATAATAAGAGCTTGGTAAATGGGAAGACAATGAGTTTTGGATGCGTATCTTGAAAGCGGAGTTTGCAATGAAAAAGCAGCCGATAGAAATGAAGGTAGAGGTGCCCAGCGGTGCTGGGATGAAGAAAACCATGAGAAACGGCCTAGAATGCCGAGAAATGGACCTCCTTCTTTGCCCGTTGATCTCCGCACTGATGCGACTCTGATCGGTGCTGTCCTCTTCAACGCTAACGCTGTTCCTGGTGAACGGCTAGTATCGCGGCTAGAGTCCGAAGCTGAAGAGTTGGCCAGTCGATGGTTGGGCGGCAGCGCGAGCGGCGCGAGTACGGCCCTGCCAGCCCATTGGGGACGTGCCCTCCGCGAAGGAACGCGCTCCGTCTCGCACCCTGAGGGGAACCCTGCCTCTCAAGTTGATGTATCTCCTTCTTCGACTTAATCCTTGGGTAAGGTGGATTCGTTTGTAAAGAGCTCTACCACAATACTTGCTATTGCTTCTTCCACAAAAGGGACAAGAATACAAATTCCTTTAAAAGGTCTCGGTGGAGCGTTCTATGGAAAAACCGCTTTCTTTTACCAAGTCGCTTACGTTTTTTCCTCTCCAAAAAATTCTCGAAAGAAACACTTCACATGCACAAATCTCAAACACATCCTACCTGGTGGATATCGACGAACGCGTCGCATCCATTCAATACAAAGGTATATCAGTATACAACCAACACCCAAAAGCACCAACATCAGCCGTCTAAATTTTCTAAGAGTAAAAATGGGGAACGAATGAGGTCATAAGAGGTTTCTGGAGAAAATAGTTGTTTTCTGAATTAGAGTGCTTGAATTCACTGGTAGGGCAAGACCTAACACCCTTGTCGAAAACGAAACGGCACGGAATAATACAGAAAACATTGGCAACGTGTTTTCTACGGAGCATTCACCACCCAGTTGTTTTTCTCCTTCTGAGTTGTTATCGACACTTAGGGTCCATTTCAAACCGGAACTTTGAGAGTAAAGTTTCTCTGTCAGATGATAAAATCAAATAATTTTTCTATCTACTGCCAATACAGCTATCCAATTCAAGATAATCTTGAAAGGCCTTTTTTAACGGCTTCACTGAAAATCGCTCATTCGTTTTTAAGGAAGACTTCGGATTTGGTCAGCCGTTCTCAGAGGGCGAAGGTTCGTAGTTCAGTACATCAAAAGGTACCGAGTATTTTATCTAGGTAATAGCAAAAAACCGCTTAAATACAAGAGCTAATACGGCCTTTACCTGGAGCACAACAACGCCAGATCAAATTGAGGGGGTAACAGCAATCGATAATGATTTTGTGGATCCTAAATTGACCGAAAATTAAAAAAAAAAACAAAGCAAGCTGCCGATGAAGCCATCAGCAAGCATTTCCTCTTTCTCCCCAAAATATGGGAGCGGCGTGTCTGGACGAGTTGTCCGAATTCGCTTGCTCCATAAGCTCCAACTTGAAATCAGCTGGCTGCGCACCGGTACCAAGCAGTTGGCCTGGACAGACGCGTCCCCTTCGTGTTTCTCGCATCTGCTGGCGTATCCAACGTCCCCGTCCGTTCTGATTCTGGTCTGGCATATGTATAATACATACAATACGGACGATGCTTTCCACCCTCATTGACCCATTGTCTGTCGAAACCCATCCTTGTCAAGCATAGGCCACTAATATACGACGTAGCTTGCCTCGGCGTCCAAACAAAGTTACAGGTCTTTCGCCGCCTTCAGACGGTCAAAATTCAATCCCTCTAACGAAGAGTTCCAGCCACTTCAATTGGTACGATACCAGTGTTCAAGAGCTCTCTCAGTGTTTGTATGTTACCGGATAACATCTTAAGGGGCCTCATTGCAAATTGCACCTCGGAATGGCCTTCTAGCAGCAAAGAGCTTGCACTTGCGCTTTAGTCGTCAGGCACCTGTTGAAGTCGAAAGCACTGTAGATATATATTAACACATTTTCAACGCCACCACCATGAAATGTGGGAATTGATTTTCTTCGAACATTGAATTTTCCGCGACCTATCCTTAAGGTTGTGGACTGGTTCGACTGGACCTGCTGCAGCCTGCTTTTCGCTGGTGCGCGTGACCTGCAGCTGTTGAAGCTGCAAAACTGCTCTGAGGCTCAAGAAGGAAGGAGGAGCTGCAAAGCAGTCTGTGCAAGGATGTTGATAAGCTCAAGTTCAAGCCATGTTTGAACATTGGGTATATGAAATTATTCCGGCGTTCGTAGCGCTTACATCGCCGCCTGCGCTCTATTTGAAACTATTCCCGCCATTCAAGCGCTCGATCGAAAAACAACATTGAGTTTTTTTTTTGATGGTTAGTTTGAGGCATAGCATGCTATGATTGGTTGTGGTGATGCGGCATGAGGTTGACGGTCCTCCACCAATTCCCACCTGTTTCAGACCTGAAGGGCCTGCCAGGCAATAGCTCACCCACACTCGTGACGATTGAACATGACTGCGCCTGCACAGCACCCGATGGCAAAGGATGCTTTTCGCCCTCCAATGTGATACCTATGAGTACATGCTCTCATGGATGCTTCTCCGCCTTCGAAATCCTGAAGCTACTGCAAATTCGAAGCTTCAGCACGTCTGCCACTCAAAAAGGGAAGCCCTTTAACGCTCGATTCAACGCTATCCACTCCGCCGCAGTCAACCTACGATCGTCCACATCTGGAAGCGTCCCACTGTCAGGACCTTCTCCTTAGGCTCCACAATGATCAGTTGTAGTGCTAACAAAAAAGGTGTGATTTTAGCCGTTTGTTCCGCTTGTCCTTTCCATCTTCACGTTCGCACCCCACTATCCGCATCCGCATTTCGTGTGGTTAAAAGCACGGATCGCGATCGAATCAGGGTATTTTCGAGCTTTGCAGAGTGAATGAAGAGTTGCTAAGTGGAACACCAGTTGAAAACAATGGGAAGAAACCGTCAAGGTTTGGGGAAAAGGCGTATCTGAACGAGTTTTTGGATATGCTAGCCATTGCTGGCTCCGTGCTTACCATAAAAATCAATTCACCCTACCTAGCTGATTTAACTATGCAAGCTTCGTACCTCGATGGGCGGCCACAGGCCACGAGTCCCAAATATCAGGACGGAGCGTTGTTACAGCGCAGTTTCGGGTCACGAGAGTGGCGCCATCTTTGTAGTTGGAGACCCGACCACACTTCTGATGAGGAGGATGGGTCGGAGAGATTTCTTGATCGTCCAATCCTGACCCGTGCTTTTGAAAAAATGACAGCTAGGATGGCACGGGAACCCGTCGAAATAACCTAGTTCAGTTTTTTTTTTAATATCCCTTAGACGGTGCATTCATGGAGCAATACTTGTTTACTGAAAATCGATATTGACGACTCTTATTAGTACTTTATAGTTCTATGCATTCGCAAGTATCGAGGTAAAGAAAACATAGAAACTGCATGGCATAATCAAAAATCGATAATCGATCGAACATGAATACGAAATATGTACATCCTAGAGTTTCAATGAAAAACGATTCCACAAAATTCAAGAAAGTGTAACAGCTGATGAATTCACAAGAAGCTTGAAGTCCTTCTGAACTAATGAGACTTCAATATTTGAGAAGCTCCAAAATAATATTGAAATTTTTTGGTCGATGCATCATTCCGATTGGTGTGGTGGTTTTCAAATCTATTGGAGCTTCAGGATCCTCCCGAATGTCGTAGCGTGAGATCATGTTGGCCAGAATCTAAAAGTGGGAAATAGTACCAAAATGCAAAAAACATTGCTACCTACTGGTAAAATTTAGGTTTTCATCAGGAACCCGCACACAAATGACTGCCTGATGCTTTCTAGACAAATTCAACTTCAATATTTGAGGAGCTTCAGATTGATATTGAAGTTGCCTAGGTTAGTTAACACCCACTCCGATTGGCACTGACATGTCGATTCTCAAAGCAATCACCCCAGATGAGGTCAGAGTAATCTATGTGAGTAGAATAGGGTAGCCCGTGAGTAACACAGTTTTGTTGTTGCCGCGACTCAAAAGTG